CGGGCAAACGGGGGAAGCCTCGGGTTTTCGATCCCTGCTCCTGGAGCGCGGGTCTTGGGCGAGGGCGAGAGAGTATTTATGACACGTCTCTGACTTAGGGAAGGTGGGAGCCGCCGGCGACGAGGAACCATGTTTAATTGCACTTAACTACTTTGTTGCTTCTGTTAGAAACTGTTACCTTAAACACGTTGTTCCCCCTCCTCGTCTCCCGGTGACCCGGCTTCTCAGTGGTCCAGGATAGTGATGGAAGTTAGAATAGTGTCCATTGAAGTCTCTGGGTGAAAATACCGAAGGGTGTGACGTTGCTTGTCAGCGCTCTAGCCTGGGCCCGCGGTTCCTAAAAGGTGAAGAAGTCTCCGGCGGCGGCGAGCTGAGTGGAAGAGGAAGTAGTGGAGGGAGGGAGGCAGCGCACTGACTTCCAAGTGCACTCTAGGTTCCCATCCAGCACCAGCTCTGGACTTTGGGGTAGGTCTTTGCTCAGCCTGCCACTAGTTTCTTCCTGAAATGCCAGCTGGACCCAAGTGCTCTGTAAGTGTATAATCGCCATCTTTCAGAATTTCCAGCCCAGGACCCCATTTACTCAGAGTTCCTAGCGAGTCACGGAGTCATTTTTGAAGGTTTCACGCTCCCTCTCATCCCCAGGCCACTTTTTAACAACCTCATTCTGTTCGCAGATACGTTTCTTCAGAAAGCTGTGTTCTAAATCAGTGAAAACTTAAGTGTTTCCAGTTGTCTTGTGTTTTACTTTCCATGGAGGCTTTGGTACCCTCCGTCAGTCATTTACAATAACCCTTTGTGGGCATCTAATAAATGGTCATTAATTTCAAGTACCAGTACACTTTAAGATTTGCGACTGACCTTAAAGTAACACCCTCATTTGGTCATTCTGTCCCATTAGATTAAGATAAAAAGTTCTCCATATACTATCTGTAGGATTTTTTTCCCTGTTAGAATTTAGATTTTGAAATGGCCTGTCTAGTTGTGCATGAAATGTTGAGTTAGGAAAAGTTTATGTAGTTTTTCTTTTTTCTTTTTTTCTTTCTTTTTTTTTTTTTTTTTCCTGGTTTTTCGAGACAGAGTTTCTCTGTGGCTTTGGAGACAGACCTGGAACTAGCTCTTGTAGACCAGGCTGGTCTCGAACTCACAGAGATCCGCCTGCCTCTGCCTCCCAAGTGCTGGGATTAAAGGCGTGTGCCACCAACGCCCGGCCTTATGGAGGTTTTCTTGAACCACTAGTCATTTTTTTCAGAGGGTGTTGTGGTGTTTTTGTTGTTTTGGTTGGTGGTGGTTCTGTGGTGCTGGTGCTTGAACCCAGGGACTCATGTGCTAACACCAGTAGGCAATCACTCTACCACTGAAAGCCCTATTTGGCTTTTCTTTTCCTAGATAGAAAATTACCTTGGGGCTGGGATGCAGTTCAGTAGCAGCTATATGGGCTCCTGGGTTCTGTGCCCATTGGGGTGGTGGTGTGAGGTGAGCAATGTTAGGAGAACGGTGAGACCCCTTTCCAAAGGGCCAGATAGTTGACATTCAGAAACAAGCTGACTGCAGAGGGAAAATTGCAAGCTGGCATACTGGCTTTCCAACCTCCTCTTAACACAGCAAGCTCTCACAGGTTCTTGAAATGGCAAGATGATTATAGAGCAGTATTGAATTTGCAACCAGATCTTGCTTCCAGACCATTATTAGCCAAAAGGCTGATTTCACACCTGTCTCTGGGACTTCTGCTATTGGGCTTTGGTGCTTTAAATGTAAATATGCTATGTATTCATTCTACATTCAGCCAAGGTCTGGCCTGCATGCATGTCTGTGTAAGAGCATCAGGTCCCCTGGAACTGGAGTTACATACAGTTATGAGCGCCCATGTGGGTGCTGGGAATTGAACCTGGGTCCTCTGAAAGAGCAGTCAGTGGTTTTAACCCCTGAGCCATCTCTCTGGTCCCCATGTTCCTTTTTTTAATGTTAGGTGTTTTCTTGGCTTGTTAAGCTGTGGAACCAGTTTCAATATGGGTAAAATAGAATAATACCCACTAGACAAGGTCAAATGAGACAAACTTAGCATGATACTGGCACACAGTAGATGCTATGTAAATGTCTTCCTTCTAGGGATTCACATTGGAGAAGAACCACCCATTTTAACTCCTTCTAATAATGCCAGATTTCACTTTCAGGAGATGTTAATTGGCTTTAACCTTTGCACTTCTAGTTTATGTGACAAGAAATACTTGTGTGATGTTTCCCGAGTTGGATCATAGAGGAAGTGGAGTTTAAGTACAGTTTTTACTCCATTAAGTTTCATATTCCCCAGATACAACACTGGGCCTCTTATTCCCAGTCAAACAAGATTGTCACCTGTGGTCCAATTGCTCTGCCTAGAGACCATGTTAAGTAATTATGGAAGTAGAATGACCAGAAAAACACACTTGTTGCTCCTCCTTGTAGTAATATGCCATACCAATTACAGCCTGGACTACAAGGGAGAAAGAACAAGACTTGCTGTCTAATGTTTAAATGTAAAGGCAGCCAGTTTTCAGTTTTGTTTATTCTGGCTTTTAAAAAATATTTGTTTTTGTTTTTTATGTGTATTAGTTTCAGATGCATGCCTGAAGCCCATGGAGGCCAGAAGACAGCATTGGGTCCTTTGGAACTGGAGTTACAGACAGTAGTGAGCTGCCATGTGGGTTCTGGGAAATGAACCCCCATCCTCTGAAAGAGCAGCCAGTGCTCTTACCCACTGGGCCATATCTTGGCTTTTTTAAAATTAAAATTGTTATGCCCACATGTGTGTGTGCATGTTAGTTTGTATACATGCATGTGCGTCCTTGGGAGCTACAAGAGGGCATCAGGTGCCCTAAAGCTGGAGTGACAGGTGGCTGTGAGCTGCCAGTGGCTCTGGGAATTGAATTTGGATTCTTTGGGAGAGCAAGTACTCTTAACCACTGACCTATCTCTTACGTCCCATATTTTGGCTTTTTGAGTGAGGATTTGCTATGAAGCTGGCCTGGTACTCAAATGTAGCCTAGGCTGACATCCAAGGATTACAAGGGTGCACTGTGGCAGCTGGTTCAGTTATCTATTCTACATTGCTTGTACTTTCCTACACTCCCTTTATGGAAAGTGTTTATGTTTTTAGAGAAAGGCTTAGCCAATCCTGACTTTTGTAGAAATAAAGTGAGTAGGAATTGACTGAGCAGTATCTGGTCCAGGATCAAGAGTATGACATGGGAAGAGCTGTTGGCTGAGGAATGAATGGACATGTTCCACTTTTATAGTGTTGCAGACACCATGTCTAAGCATTGCATATCGTTTGTCCCAGTGAATCCTCACAGCTTGTGCAGCAGATGGAGAATCTAGTTTTGATTTGCAGATGAAGTAACGAGGGTTCAGGGAGGTTACTGACTTGCACAAGATCAGGCAAGAAGCTGAAACGACCTGGCTCTGACTCCATCTTGAGCTTTGTTCTACCAGTTTTGACCTAGTTTTAGAGACTTAGAAAGGAAATGGGCAAACCCAGATCTTTCTGATCTACCCAGAGTTGTTTGATCATCATTAATAGCAAAGCTCTGACTCCAGCAACTCCAGATTGATTTTGGCTTCCCATTTGTGTTGAAACACTTGTGATAGGCACTGTAGCTCTTCAGGAGGCTTGTAGGTACTCTCTTCCTGTGGAGTCCTTGTTCTGCTTTCCATTGTATCAAGTCTGTGTGTGGGTAATTTCCCTAAGCTTGCTACCTTTCACAAGCCTCTGCAAAGTGATAGTTGCTGATGGCTTTATTTGTTTTTTGTGGGTGGGGGTCTCTCTCTAAAACAGGTGTTCTTTGATTTTGCTTTGTCATTGTAGCTCTTTTTAAATGCAGTCTGGGGATTGAACCCAGAACCTTGCACATGGTAGCCAAGCTCTATTCCACTAAGCCAGTCTCAGGCTCATGACTTTTGAACTCATGGTGACCCTCCTGCCTCAGTTTCCTAAGTCCTGGGGTTATATACTGTGAGTCATCATATTAGGCCAGTTAGTGAGGATATAAAATTTTTATGTGTAAAACATTTTGTTTGCCTAAATGTCTGTGTACTTCATGCATGTCTGATGCCAGAAGAGGGTATTGGATCCCCTGGAACTGGAGTTACAGATGATTTGAACCACCATGTGGGTGCTGGGAATCAAACCCAGGTCCTCTGGAAGAGCAGCCAGTGAGCCATTTCTCCAGTCCAGTTAGTGAGTTTTAATTCTCTTCTCTGCCTCTTCTTTTCCCTTGGAGGAGGCAAGCAGGATCTAGCTAGGTCTAGTAGCAAGAGTCCTGTAATCCCTATTCCAGAAGCTAAGGCAGGAAGCCCAGAAGCAAGCTAGTAAGATATTGTCTCTAAAAGTGAAGAGAAGGCTGGGTGATAACTGAGTACTTGTCAGCTCTGGTAACCAAATAGGTCCAATATCTAGTATTAAAGTCAAACTAAAACCACAGAAGAGGGCTTGGGAGATACTGGTCGCATCTGGTAGCATGCTTATTTCAGAAGTATTGGGCCTGAGTTCAATCCCCTGTACCCACCTAAAAATGCTGGGCATGGGGTTGCACTCTTAGAATTCCAGTGTTGGAGAGGCAGAGACAGGAGACCCGGGAATTATGGATCAGTGAGCCTAGCCTAATTGGTGAACTCCAGGCCAGTGATAGACCTGGTATCAGAGGAGGTGGGCAGTGGCTGTTTGAATTTTTTTTATTAATTAATTAATTTTGAGACAGGGTTCTTATTTAGGCCAGGCAGACCACTGCCCCTCACCTGAGGAGTGCTAGAATTTTTTTTTTTGTGTGTGTGTATGTGTGTGTGTGCACTCGCTCTGGAGATCAGGCTGGCCTGGAACTCAGAGATCCGCCTGCCTCTGCCTCCCGAGTGTTGGGATTAAAGGCGTGCGCCACCAATGCCCGACCCAAAGATTTATTTATTTATCATGTATACAGTGTATGCCAGAAGAGGGCACCAGATCCCATTACAGATGGTTGTGGACTACCTTGTGGTTACTGGGAATTGACTCAGGACCTCTGTAAGAAAACAATCAGTGCTCTTAACCCCCAGCCATCTCTCCAGCCCCTCTTTGTTTTTTTTTAAGACAGGGTTTCTCAGTGTAGCTTTGGAGCCTGTCCTGGATGGAGCTCACTCAAAGAGATCCACCTGCCTCTCCTTCCCAAGTGCCAGGATTAAAGGCATGTGCCACCACTACCCAGCACACACACATTTCTTAAAATATATTTTTTAAAATTTATTTATTTTCATTTTATGTGTATTGGTGTTTGGCCTGTATGTATGTCTGTGTGAAGTGTCAGATCTTTGGGTTACAGACAGTTGTGAGCTGCCATGTGGGTACTGGGAACTGAACCCAGGTCCTCTGGAAGAGGAGTCAGTGCTCTCAACCTCTGAGTCATTTCTCCAGCCCTTAAAATCTGTAAAAATAAATAAGTAAATACAAGGCACAGAATCGAAAACCCTCAATGAAAGTTAATGTCTTGAGTTAGTAATAAAGCTCTCTGAGCCTGTCTTTACACTTGTATGCTAATGACAGCACCCATAGTTGTTACTATGAAGAGCATAGCACCAAGCAAACATTTCCACATCAGATAGTCTCGTCTGCTTCAGAGAAGATGGTTTGACTATAGAAATTAATGTTTGTTTTATTCTCTTTGCAGCTATTGAAATATTTGAAGAAACTTTCCATCTTGCCTATCACAGTAGACATTCTTGTGGTAAGACTTTTGTAACTGTACATATTATGTGACTGTATTGCAAATGTTTCCTACTAAAGAGAGGGTAGAGGGAGACCTAAGGGATAGGCTGTACAAGCTAAAGAAGCCAGACACTGAACACTGTATGATTCTGTTTATATGAAATGTCCAGAACAGGCAAAGCCATAGTCAGAAAAGACAGTAGATAAGTCCATGGTTGTTGAGAGAAACAAGGCTTCTTTTTTTGTTCCAGAGTTAGGTGGTGGTAATTATTGCTCAGTATGAGGAGTGTTCTAGAAATCACTATGTACTTTAAGATGGTGAGTTTTATGTTATGTGCCAAGGTGGACAATCGTGCTATAGAATAAGCTCAGAGTGTTACAGATGATAGAAAAATCATCCTTGGCTGAGCTGTACATCTGTCTCTGTTATGTGAATTTTAGTTCAAAATTGGAAGAGTTTTTCTTTTACTTATGTATGTTTAAATGCCCAAAGAGGCCACAGGACCTCAGATTCCCTGGAACTAGAGTTATAGGCAATTCATTGTGAGCAACCTAATGTGGGTGCTGGGAGTTGATTTTCTGTCCTCTGCAAGAGTAGTAATCGCTCTTAAATGAAAAGCCATTACCATAGCCCTCGGTTCAGAATTTAAATATATGAGGTGCATGCAAGATACAAGAGTGCTTACTAAGGAGCCAGGCATGATGGATGGTGCACGCCTTTAATCCCAGCACTGCGGATTCAGAGATAAGCAGATCTTTGTGAGCTCTTCCAGGACAGCTAAGGCTATTACACAGAAAAACCCTGTCTCAAAAAACCAAAAGAAAAAAAAAAGAAAAAGAGTGCTTACTGATCTTCTGAAGGATCCCAGCTTAGTTTTTAGCACTCAACTGAGGTGGTTCACGACTGCTTATTAACTCCAGTTGGTCTCTCTGAGGGCACATGTTGACACATGATATACACTGATACAGACATATGCACAGAAACATCAGTCTTTAAAAAGATGTAATACATGTCAGGCAAGGTGATGGATACCTTTAATCCCAGCATTTGGGAGGCAGAGGCAGGTGGATCTCAGAGTTCGAGGCTGGCCTGATCTACAGAGTGAGTTCTAGGACAGCCAGAGCTACACAGAGAAGCCCTGTCTCCAAAAACATAAAAAGAACATTGGTGTTGGCATCTACTACTCCTAGATTCTAATCGAATTTCTAGGCAGGCATGTTTGCATGTGCCTTTGCAGGTGAGTCTCTGAATTTAAGGCCAGCCTGGTGTACATAGTGAAACCCTCTTTTTTTTTTAAGATTTACTTTTTTTATTTATTTTATGTATGCGAGTGCTCTATCTGCATGCACACTAGAGGAGAGCATCAGATCCTACTATAGATGGTTGTGAGTCACCATGTGGTTGCTGGGAATTGAATTCACGACCTCTGGAAAAACAGCTAGTACTTTTAACCAATGAGCCAACTCTTCAGCCCCATGAAATCCTTTCTTAAAAAACAGAAGAAGAAAAAAAAATCCGGCCGGGCAGTGGTGGCACATGCCTTTAATCCCAGCACTCGGGAGGGAGGCAGAGGCAGGCGGATCTCTGTGAGTTCAAGACCAGCCTGGTCTACAAGAGATAGTTCCAGGACAGCCTCCAAAGCCACAGAGAAACCTTGTCATGACCCCCCCATATATATATATCCATCCCCTTTGGCTTTAGGCTGGGCCTCTCTGTATAGTGAGGCTGATGGCTGATTCCTACCTCAAGGGCTATGATGAACACTGACTCATAGGGCAGTCAGCGTCTTAAGCTGGCGGTGGAACTCCCCTCCTTGTTTCATTGTTATGGTTCTGGTGTGTTTTGAGGACACACTTCTCTAAACCTGTGAGCTTTATTACTTAGTGTCAGATCTTTGGGCATAGGCAACAAAGTGACTTAGTATTTAGAAGATGTTTCAGTAGGGAAGTATTTGCTTGTTGTGCTTTTCTCAAACAGGAGGCCTTATTTTTTTAGAAAAATATGCCCTTAGTTTCAATCAATTCCTTTGTTAAATTTGTAGGAGACTGGGGTAGGGAAAACAGTAAACAGCTTTCGAAAACATGAGCAAGTGGGGAACTTTGCCAGAGACCTGGTGGCCCAGTGGAAGAAGCTGGTTCCTGTAGAGCGGTAAGAATGTTTCTTTGCTTTTTCTGCTTCTTATATCAAATAACTATGTTGCCTCAAGTATAAAAATAACCCATAATTATTGTAGAATATACAAATAAAATATAAGAATCAAAATGGCTCATACCTTTAATATCAGTACTTACAGACAGAGGCAGGCAGATCTCAGTGAGTCCAAGGCCAGCCTGGCTACAGAATGAGTTCCAGGACAGCCAGGGCTACACAAAGAAATCCTATCTCAAAAAAAAAAAATAATAATAATAATAATAATAATAATTTCTTAGAGACCAGAGATGGCCTGGTGGGTAAAGGTACCTGCTGCCAACCCTAACAACCTGAGTTTGGTCCTTGGAACCTGTATGGTGAAAGGAGAGATCTAGACACCAAGGGTTGTCTTCTGATCTCCAGATGTGCATGGGCCATCTTCCCCAACAAAATAAATAAGTAAAAATGAAATAATCACTTTTTTGGTCTTTTGAGACAGGGTTTTTCTGTGGCTTTGGAGGCTGTCCTGGAACTAGCTCTGTAGACCAGGCTGATCTTGAACTCACAGAGATCCGCCTGCCTCTGCCTCCCGAGTGCTGGGACTAAAGGTGTGTGCCATCACCGCCCAACTTGTTTTTGTTTTTTAAGACTGGGTCTTTCTCTATGGCCCTGGTGGAAATTACTATGTAGACCAGGCTGGCCTTGAACTCAGAGATCTGGCTGCCTCTGTCTATGAGTGCTAGAATTAAAGGCATGCACCACCATGCCCGGGTGGAATTCTTTTTTAATGATAAACATTAGCATATTGTTGCATTTTTTGTTTTGTTTGGGGGTTTGATGCTGAGGACTGGGTCCAGCGTCTCTCACATTATCTTCCCACTAAACTATACTCTTCGGGTTGCTCTTTTTGTTTACTGTGGGGGGAGGTGTGGGTTTGTCCTCTAGCTTTTGAGAGTCAGTTCTTTTCTGCCACCGTGGGCTTGGACACAGGTCTCCAGGCTTGCATGACTAGTATTTTTACCTGTTGAGCAGTCAGGCTGGCCTTAATATCTTTCTTCAGACAGGGTCTCATTCTGTGGCTTAATTTAGCCTAGAACATGCTATATAACAAAATGACCTTAAACATCTGATTCCTCAAGAATCCTACCTTAGCCTCTTTGATACTGGGATGATAGGTGTAAGCCACCACTCTTGGCCTGGTTTTTGTTGTTTGTTTTTGTTTTGTGGTGAGCCAGTCTCTTGTAGCTGAGGATGGCCTTGAACTTCTGATCTTCCTGTCTTCACCTCCCAAGTATTGGGATTATAGATGTGCCCTCCAAGTCTGAGGTCAGGGTCTGTGATTTTTTTTTTTCTAAAGAGGTTTATGCTGAGATTTCCCTCTACTTTTGTTTTTATTTTAGAAACAATGAGGCTGAGGATCAGGATTTTGAGAAGAACAGTTCCGGAAAGCGCCCTCGAGATGCTCTTCAGAGGGCAGAGGAGATGGAGGGGGAATACCAGGGAAGCTGGAAAGCCTCTGGCAGCCGGTCCTACAGCCCTGAGCACAAACAGAAAAAACACAAAAAACTCTCTGAGCCTGAAAGGCCTCACAAAGTGGCTCACAGTCACGAGAGGAGGGACGAAAGGAAGAGGTGTCACAGAGTGTCACCACCATATTCCTCAGACCCTGAGTCTTCTGATTATGGCCATGTTCAATCCCCCCGACCTTCCAGTCCACATCAAATGTACACAGACCACTACAGGTCACCAGAGGAGGACCGTGAGCCCATTATCTCACACCAGAAGCCGGGGAAAGTCCACAGTAATACCTTTCAGGACAGACTGGGGGTTACTCAAGAACGACGCCTGGGTGAGCACCAGGGGAAGGGGGCTGTGAGCCAAAACAAGGAGCACAAATCTTCCCATAAGGAGAAACGTCCTGTGGATGCCAGGGGTGATGAGAAGGTCTCTGCCCTGGGTAAAGAGAAATCACACAAGGCCTCTTCCAAAGAGGAAAACCGAAGGCCACTCTCAGGGGACAGTGCCAAGGAGAAGCCACCCTCTAGTGTTAAGAAAGAGAAGGACAGAGAGGGCAACAGTCTCAAGAAAAAGTTTCCGCCTGCCTTAGAGGCTGCTTCAGACAACCACTTTAGGAAGCCCAAACACAAGGACTCTGAGAAGAGCAAGGCAGACAAGGACAAGTCAAGTGCAGACGGCCTAGACTCAGGGCGGGGGCCTGGAGACCTGCTGCCCAAAGCAAAAGAGAAAGTTCCCAACAACCTGAAGGCTCAGGAAGGGAAAGGAAGAACTAACTTGGACAGAAAGTCACCAGCCTCGCTCCCTAAAGTAGAGGAGCCGGACATGGAGGACGAGTTTGAGCAGCCCACCATGTCCTTTGAGTCATACCTCAGCTATGACCAGCCTCGGAAGAAAAAGAAGAAGGTTGTGAAAACTTCAACCACAGCACTTGGAGAAAAAGGACTTAAAAAAAAGGACTCTAAAAGCACTAGTAAAAACTTGAACTCAGTTCAGAAATTACCCAAGGTGAATGAAAACAAGTCAGAGAAGTTGCAGCCAGCGGGAGCTGAAGCTATCAGGCCTCGAAAGGTAACTGCAGCCACCCAACACCTAGCCTGATGAGTGCACAGAGCTCACCTGCCATGCTACCTGGCTTGCTGGTGTTTGGTCAGCTGAGTTTTGATTGGTAGGAATATTCTCTGAGTCTCACTAACTGCTAGGGTGGATGCTACCCAACAATTATTCTGGGCTGGGAGGTAGCTCAGTAGTACAGTACTAAGAGTGTGTGGGGTTCTACATTTACTTCTTGGCACCTCAGGAAAAAAAAAAAAAAAAGTCACCCAAAGCATTGTTATTGTCCTATCTACATTTATTATTTATTTATTGGAAGTCAGGGTGAGATAGTGTTTTTCTGTGTAGCCCTGGCTGTCCTAGAACTCATTCTGTAGACCAGGCTGGCCTTGAACTAACAGAGATATGCCTCCCGAGTGCTGGGATTAAAGGCGTGCACAATTACTGCCCAGCTATACATTTATTTTTTGATCTAGATGGTATCATTCATGACTCTGTTCCCTTGTAGCCTGGATCTATCTGCCAGTGCAGTATGCTTGGTTAACTCTCAGGGACTAACTCAGGATGGGCTCTGCACTCTTGTCTTTTGCAGGTCCCTACCGATGTGTTGCCAGCGTTGCCAGACATCCCCTTACCCGCCATACAGTCCAACTACCGTCCCCTTCCTTCCCTTGAGTTGATTTCTTCCTTCCAGCCAAAGCGAAAAGGTAATTTTGGATATCTTTACATGTATTAAAAAGAGTCTCACTGTGTAGCTTTGGCTGGCCTAGAATTCACTCTGTAGACCAGGCTGGGAGATTGACCTGCCTCTGCTTCGAAGGTGCTGGGATTAAGGATTGTCACATTTTTTATTTGCCTTCATGTTTGGCTTGCACATATGTCTGCATTGTGTGTGCAATGCTGAGGAGGGTAGAAGAGGGTGTAGTTAGAGAAGGTAGCGAATGAGTTGCCTGCCATGTGGGTTCTGAGTCTTCACCACGAGCCTTAGACCTTTGTGACTTGCTGGTTTCCTCTCTCTACAGCATTCTCTTCACCCCAGGAAGAAGAAGAAGCTGGATTCACAGGACGCAGGATGAATTCTAAGATGCAGGTGTATTCAGGTTCCAAGTGTGCCTATCTCCCCAAAATGATGACCTTGCACCAGCAGTGTATCCGGGTGCTTAAAAACAATATTGACTGTGAGTCATCAACCTTTCAAGCACATTGCCACACTGGTACTTTGTCACTGGGGAGCTTGGCTGCCATTCAGCACTCACCATCTTACTGCTGGTTTCTCTGCAGCTATCTTTGAAGTGGGAGGAGTCCCCTATTCAGTTCTTGAGCCTGTCTTGGAGAGGTGTACACCTGATCAGCTCTATCGAATAGAGGAGTGCAATCACGTGAGTGTCCTAAGTGGGAACAGAGCAGCTTCCTGGCTGATTTCCAGAAGTAGTTTTGTCTATATCTGCTGTGGCTGAAGGGCAGGTCAGAGGGCAGATCACTGTTCTGGCCATGTTTGGTTTGCATCTGGGCTTTAAACAAGCATGTTCTTTGTGCCCACTCCTGGGAGCTGCCTTTGTTTGGTTTGGTTTTGTGGGGGTTTTTTGTTTTTGTTTTTGTTTTTTGGAGACATGGTCTGGCTGTCCCAGAACTCACTATGTAGACCAGGCTGGCCTCAAACTCAGAGATCCTGCCTGCCTCTGTCTCCTGAGTACTGGGATTAAAGGTGTATGCCCCTATGCCTAGCTCCTTTTAAAAAAAAATTTTGGTGTGTGTGTGCGTGTGTTGCCTGTATGGAGGGGTCAAAGACAGCTTTGTGGGGCTGCTTTTCTTCTGTCTTTATGTGGGTTCCAGGACCAAACTTAGGTCAACAGCCTTGTTATGTGGCAAGTTCCTTTACTGCTGAGCCCTCTCCTGGGATCTTAAGCAGGGTGCTGGGATTGAAACACAGGGAAAAGCACTTTCAAGGCCTCCCTTGAGCTTGCCTGGCCATAGAGGTGAAGGGAAAACTCTGACAGCAAAGCCTTTGGTATCCAGTGCTGGCACTTGGGTGTCTAGTGAAAGTGACAGCACTTGCCAGACATTTGAAATCTTCTAGAACCCTTCCTATTAGGCAGATACACTCATCTGATCTCACTGTACAAAACCTCCTGAGGTAGCCCTCTTGCATGACAGTTCGGTGTAGAGCTGGGAAACACTTGACTTTACCCCAGCTCTGCCCTTACTGGTTTCTGAAGGAAAAGATTGACGTTGCTAGCTTTCTTCTCTGCTAGCTCTTCCATTCACGATGTCCTAGAGCAGTGGTTCTTAGCCAGTGGGTCGAGATCCCTTTGGGGATCTTACAGCAGATATCCTGCATATCAGATATTTATATTCCAACTCATAACAGCAGCAAAATGACAGTTATGAAGTAGCAGTGAAATAACTTTATGGTTGGGGGTCACCACAGTATGTAGAACTGTATTAAGTGTTAAAGCATTAGAAAGGTTGAGAATCACTGCTCTAGGGTGATTAGCATAGTGCCTCCAATTTATCTTTTTTTTTTTTTTTTCTAGAGTGGTTTGCCTTTTTTCTAGAGTTGTAGAACTATAATACTACTGTTTAGACACCCTCCTCCCCATTATCAGACAGTGGGTCTGCCTAGGTAGAAGGAGGTATGTGGGAATGCTTATATAGAAATGATGTCCTGGCCCTGATTTCAGGTATTAATTGAGGAAACAGATCAGTTATGGAAAGTTCACTGTCACCGAGACTTTAAGGAGGAAAGACCAGAAGAGTATGAATCCTGGCGGGAGATGTATCTGCGGCTTCAGGATGCCCGAGAGCAGCGGCTGCGCCTGCTAACAAACAACATCCGGTCTGCACATGCCAATAAGCCGAAAGGTAAAGAGAAAGAGCAGCCTGGTGGGTATGGCCACCATCTTCTCAATGTCCCTTTGCCTGAGGCTGAGTGTGGTTTCTCTTCTGCCACAGGCTGCTCCCGACAGTGAGCTCATGGGGCCTGATTGAGCCCTAGTTTGGGGCTTTCAAAAGCTCTAGATTGTTAAATTGGCAGCAGTACCTTTGCTTAAGAAGGTAAATATCGGGCTGGAGAGATGGTGCAGAGTTTAAGAGACCTGACTGCTCTTCCAGAGGGTCCTGAGTTCAATTCCCAGCAACCACATGGTGGCTCACAACATCTATAATGAGATCCGGTGCCCTCTTCAGGTGTGCAGGGATACATGCAGACAGAATGTTGTATACATAATAAATAAATCTTAAAAAAAAAAAAAAAGAAGGTAAATATCAATGTCTGTATTTCTTCTCAGGACGACAAGCAAAGATGGCATTTGTCAACTCTGTGGCCAAACCACCTCGAGATGTCCGACGAAGGCAAGAGAAGTTTGGAACCGGAGGAGCAGCTGTCCCTGAGAAAGTCAGGCAAGATCTCTGATACTAGCTGGGTGGTGGTGGCACATACCTTTAATCCCAGCACTCGGGAGCAGAGGCAGGCAGATTTCTGTGAGTTGGAGGCCAGCCTGGTCTATAGAGCGAGTTCCAGGACAGCCTCCAAAGCTACAGAGAAACCCTGTCTCAAAAAAAACCAAAAAAAAAAAAAAAAAAAAAGATGGTCATTACCCTGAAGGAGAGCTGTGAGGCAGGAAGTGACTTATTTTGGGGGTAGAGGCAAGCAGAGTGTGCTCTGGAATGCTTACTGGTTCTGCACGTTACCTTTCTGCTACTTGGTGTCCTGGCTGCAGCCTGGGTAGGTTATTTCTGCTTCTTGTCCATCAACCCAGGTCAATTGCATGGAGAGCAGGACCTGGTTCAAGAAAGTGCCCCTTCTGCTTTCATTTTCCTCATATAAATAACAACAAACAAACACAACAACAACAACAAAATATTTCTAGAGGAGAGGAAATAGCTTATCCAATAAAGTGCTTAAAGACCTGAGCTTGATCCTCAGCACCCAGGTCACAGACAGATGGGGGATGTGCACTTGTGATCCCTGGCCTGCCAGCCTAGCCTATTCGGTGAGCTCCAGATCTCAATGAGAGACTGTGGCCCATGCTTTTAATTCCAGCACTTGGGAGGCAGAGGCAGGCAGATCTCTGTGAGTTCAAGGTCAGCCTGGTCTACAAAGCAAGTTCCAGTACAGTCAGGACTGATTGTTAACAGAGAAACCCTGTCTCAAAAAAAAAAAAAGGCCCCCCATGGTTCACTTCTGGCTTCCACATGAACACATATCCATGTATATCCCCTCTGTTTACACACAGGCACATAAAACAAGATACATTTCTAGTGTGACAAGACTTTTATAGGCCACATGAGCATTTTCAAATTATAGACTAACATTTTAACAGCCAAGTTTACTTGAGACTGTCTTTTTTTTTCTTGATTTTATTTATTTATTATGTATACAGCATTCTGCTTCCATGTATATCTGCACACCAGAAGAGGGCACCAGATCTCATAAGGGATGGTTGTGAGCCACATGTGGTTGCTGGGAATTGAACTCAGGACCTCTGGAAGAGCAGCCAGTGCTCTTAACCTCTGAGCCATCTCTACAGCCCGAGACTGTCATTCTTACTAAAGGGCTAACAATTCCCTCTGAGCCGGGCGTTGGTAGCGCACGCCTTTAATCCCAACATTCGGGAGGCAGAGGCAGGTGGATCTCTGAGTTCAAGACCAGCCTGGTCTACAAGAGCTAGTTCCAGGACAGCCTCCAAAGCCACAGAGAAACCCTGTCTTGAAAAAAAAATTGCCTCTGAACCTTCACTAGAACTCAGTGACTAGGCCACTGCTTGGAGCCACAACAGAGTCACCCAGAACAGCTCTGATTTAGATGTTGTGCTCCTGGCTAACCAGCTTTGTTCTGTGTTACAGGATTAAGCCAGCACCATATACAACAGGAAGCAGCCATGCTCCTACCAGCAACAGCAGCAGCAGCTTCCACTCCAGCCCTGAGGAACTGGCCTATGATGGGCCCAGTACCAGCAGTGCCCACTTAGCTCCAGTGACCAGCAGTTCTGTTTCTTATGATCCTAGGAAACCGGCTGTGAAAAGTAAGCAACGCTGGTGGGAGCAGGGCTATGATTGGGTGGGGACCCTGGCACAGGTGTCAACTTGGCATAGGCCACTAGCCAAGTCAGGTGTTTTGAGCTTAGCTCATCTGAGTCCTGTTGTTACTCTGGGAGGTTGGGGGGAAGGCTAGGGAGGGTCTGGGTACTATTTACTGGTTTGAATGTTTACGTTGCAAAGTTAAATTATGGGGATTATGGCCCTTGCAGTTAGCAGAGACTTCTGATTTGCCACTTATAGCCATCCTGAGCCAGTCTTGGAGAGCTATAGTGTCAGGCAGGAATGGTGGAGGTTCTGTACCTGCAGGGTCTCAGCAAGGTCTGCCTCATGATGTGGTTTCTATGGCAGTGTTAGCAGATCCTGTTTGTGTCCATTTGTGTGTGTGGTAGGGTACACAGCCAGGGGCAGCAAACTCAGCCTGGCTTTTGCTATAAACTACAGTGGTGCCTGTCTGTGCTGTCATCCATCTGAAACAGCTGCCTCCTTTGCCTTCACAGAAATTGCCCCGATGATGGCCAAGACAATTAAAGCATTCAAGAACAGATTTTCCCGACGATAAATGGGACTTGCCTTGGAGGTGGAATCTGGGAAGCAGGAATACAGTGACAGTGGGGACAGGCGAAGAGGATGTCCACAGAAGAGACCCGTGTCTTTTGCTTTGTGGGACTTTTGGCCTCTGACCTGCACAGTTGCAGGTATCTCCCTATGCACCATAACCCTGCACCCTGCCTGGAGCACACTTCAGATTTCTGAAGTCTTACTGAGGACTTTAAGGTCAATTATACTTTTATTGCTAATTAGTATCTTTGTAAACTATAAAACATAGTTTTAATAAATATTGCCCCGGATGTATTTATAGTACCCCCAAGGGTTTTTGTTTTTTCTTTTTTCTTTTTCTTTTTTTCTTTTTTTTTTCTTTTGTCCTCTATTATATATTTAGCTTTTTAGTTTTCAGGTCCTTTATTAAAGTTAGATGAGCCTAGCAAAAGCCAGTTTTGTTCTAGGTCAGGTCTTTTGAGTAGACACTGGTCCAAAAGGGCATCCCCTGAGCTTGTGTGTCACTTCAATCCCAAATATGGATGGGGCCAGGAATGAGGAAATGTCAGACTGCCTGTCCTCCAGGGGAACCTTGACATAGCAACTGTTCAGAGGGGCCTCACTCTGAGACCATCAGAGCTCCTGGGCAGAAGCCTTTCTTTCCTGTCCTTTCATAGTGTTTGTTAAGGAAGACTATTTGCAAAGTCTAGATTCTTTCCTTCCTCTTCTGCAAATCACACTCCTTTTCTCTGTTTTAAGGTTTACTGGAGGACAGAACCTTGGGTTGATTTGCATAGGACCTCAGCAGTTTTATGATTTCTAGTTTCTGGTTCAGTATTTTAGCCCCACCCCCTTATTTTTCCTTTCCCCACACCATGGGGAAACACAGACATGGCAGGGCTTTTGTAGCTCCAAATGTGGTTCTTGGGGTTTTGAAAAGCCAGCACTTTAATCTCTTGTTCCCTATGAATTACTACTAGGAGTGAATTATTTAAAACATTGTAGTGCTCTGTTGGAAATTGTTTCTGTTTGAAAGGAAAGATCATGTCACTGGAAGAGCACAACAGTTTGCTGTGTCTGGCAGAAAGAAAACTTGCTGCTGAAGCCCTCTACCTTCTGAGTGTAGGTCAGAGTTAGGAAGAAAGGGCCTTGGGAAGGGGCCGGACTGAAGACTAGGTGGGGAAATCTGATCCCACCTAGCCAGCCAGTTCTGGAGGAAGGCTCTTTCTAATTGATATGGGGGCAAGATCAGAACTAAGAGGGCAGCACCAGGTCCTTTCTTATGGTCAGAAACCATGGAGGTCGTAGGACCTGCTTGGTTATAAGACAGGTAAAGGATGCTGTGAACTTGAGGGGACAGACAGTCTGCTAAACTGTGCCATCACTCCTGTCTACATTGTTTTTAACCACCCTGGAGACCTCAGGCTAATGAAGACTCCAAGGCAACACAGGAAACCTGTATAGCAAAGCTGGGCCCACCTTACCGTGCATTGCCACACAGGTGGCCTGCTGCCATGGGACACAAGTATTGCTATATTTTGAAATTGAGTAAAGCATTGTTTCTCCTGCTTGTTTCACCTCACCACCTCCCTCTTAGCCTGACCTCCAAATCTAACATCAGGCCTCTTACCTGACATCGAGGGGATGTTTGCACCAGGTGCCAGGCACCTGGTGTTAGAATAGCCCCTGTGGGTGTTGACGACCTCAGATTTGCCTTAGCTGTGTTTCCAGGACTTCCCATTGCGCCTTTCCTGTTGCAGAGTCAGTTGTGTATGATTTAGTTCCCCTTTGGAGTGCTTAGGCCCCGGGGGAAAATGGACACAGATTTGTCCATCTCAGTGTCAGCATCTGGTTTGGCACAAAGATTTCTAATGCAGCCAGTTTTCTTAGAGCCAGATCTCCCACCCCTTCAGAGTGTCTGTGTCAGGGATATGATTGGTAAGAATAGTGAGGGGGCCTGGGAAGCCAACCGGCTCTACAACCCCTCACCAACATACACAATAGCCACAAAGCAGACACACGGTGATGTTCAATTTCTGGTCGCATTTGTGAAAACTTGTGCAATGTTTTCTGTGCTACACTACATACAAATCACAAATGTCAGATTAGCCCTTTGCGGTCCTTGGTGTTACGAGGGGTTCTCAGGGGCTTGCTTTCTCTTTTTTTGGAGGCAGGAGGGGCAGGAGTGAGCATCATCCTGCTCTTCATTTGTATTTTGGTCCCAAAATGTAAATACAATTTTCTATGTTACTTTTTTGTGGTAACTACAAGATGAATATTTTAATTAGATAAGTTATACAAAAAGGAAAAACTCACATCTAAATAAAAAGCAAAAAAATTCTGTCTGCTGAGCCTTTCTTCCTCATTTTGTCAGGGAAACGATATCAATCACAAGATGCCCGCTTCTTTAATCTTGGAGGCTCTGCTCACACTGATGGAGCTGCCTCAGCAACCTGTGAGTGCCCCATATTGTGCTGTACAGCTGAACCAGGGGACGGGGTTTATGGTATACAGCTGAAGGGGGTTTTGGTATACAGTTGAACCAGGGGGCTGGGTTTATGGTATACAGCTGAATAGGGGAGTGGGATTTATGACGTACATCTGAACTCTAGGAGGCAGGTTTAGCTAATCTCTGGAGCAGTCTTTTTTTTCCCCTCAAGACATGGTTTCTCTGTAGCTTTGTAGACCAGGCTGGCCTCAACTCACAGAGATCCGCCTGCCTCTGTCTCCCCAGTGCAGGGATTAAAGGCTTGCGCCACCGCCCGGCTTGGAGCAGTCTTAAAGTAGAAAACATCTTCAGAGGGTGAGGAGAGCTAACGTGGACTTTTTCTGTATATAGTCAACATTCACACACAGACTAAAAGACGACTGCCAAACATGAAAGAAAGACTTGCCATTCTATGATTCAGATGCAGTGGAGTTCTTGACATGGCCTTGTCCATGTCAAACAATGTACACCCACTCAGGACTTCACTTGTTCCCTGTAGGCCTAGCCTTAAAGGATTTGGGGTTTCTGCCTAAAGAAGAGCAGGACCAGAGAGGAGTTTCAGAGACAACCTTGACATCAAATAAGTGAGGAGCACTTGGTGAGGGCTGGTGCTGCAATTGAAGGCATGAGGCTGAGTTGGTAATGGCATTACGCTGTTAGGAACTCTTCAGAGATGAGTTGTAGAGCCATGTTGAATAGCTTTAAAGGGCAGAAAGGGATTGGAAACCCAGGTTCTCTGACTAGCAGCTTCGAGCCCTTCCGGCTCTTAGTCTCCCCCTGCAAGTGTGAAGGGCCCAGGTAGGTCTCAGCCTTCCCTTGGCAACCTGAGATCATAAAGAACTTGGTAAGAACCTGCTCTGCCGGCTCTGGCTGAGCTGCACAGGTCTCAGCATTTGTTGGAGGAACCAAGGGCTTGGCTCGGCTCTCCCCGACATATATCCACTGGGTCAGACCCTGCATCAAACCTGGATCTCACAGCTACCCTGTTCTGTAACCCTCTTCTCCTAAAGAGGGCATTTTTGACCTGTGGTCTAGAATCTCCTTCCCTCCCTACTTTGCTTTACTGGATCTAGTTATCAGTGAATTAGGGAAATTACATCAAAGTTAATTACAGAATGTGCATCCAATGGGTGCGCATACCTTGGGTTTGTAAGTCAGTTCCTTGCCTCTTGTTGCTGAACCAGTAACTATTTTAGACCTGGCTGCACCTGCTCCATGCCAGACCCCTTTTGGCCCTGATACACTGTCAGTTCTCACATGGATCCTAGCAAGTCAGTCATGCTCCTGTTTTATTTTTATTGGTTGGTGGTGCTCAGGTTGGCCTTAATCATTGAATGATCTGCCTCAGCCTCAGAAATGCTGGGGTTATAGGCATATAAGACTAGCCAGGCATGGCAGCACACGCCTTTAATCCCAGCACTGGGGAGGTAGAGCAAAGCGAATCTCTGAGTTTGAAGCCAGCCTGGTCTACAGAGCACCTGCTCTGATGATACACTTTTTTAGTCACAGACACACATAGCCAGTTGGGTTTCAGAAGCAGAGCCTCAAGACCAGTCACTGCTGAGAAGTTCATCACCTCAGCATTTCTCTTTTCCTTGAGTCTCTCTTACTGTTTAAGTTGGGAAATATGACAGTCCATCTACAAAATCCCCTGGCCCTCCCTTTCTGTGACACCTACTGTCTGAGTGTTCTTCAAAAACTAACAAAAGTTTCAAATCCACTTACAATTTCTCAAGCACACTCTGTATCCAGAGTACACATTTTAAAAAAAAAGAAGCAACAGAGTTTTAGCCTGAATGTGTCCTCGTCCCCTCCCCCACCAGTTCCGATGTTGAAATCCTAAAATCCAGCATAATGGTGTTAGGGGGCAGGGCCTTTGGAGGTAACTAGGTCATGACAGCTTTAGCTTTGTGAAGAGGATCTCCCTGTGTAAGAAGAGAAATGCAAGCCTAGCATGGTGGCACATGCCGGATTATAAATTCACACCAACCTGGGTTACATGAGACCATATCTGAATTTTTTAAAAATTAAAGTTTGAGAGCTACTCCATTAAGTTTGCCACAAATAGTGCTATAGCTCTGGCTGGCAGAGCCAAGGGCCAGGGTTGGAAAGTCTGCTCATCACATGCCTGTGGGGTCTATTGCAGTCTCATCACTGATTAAGCAGATATGGATGGCCCTTGCCCTCAAGAAGCCATGGGGTAGGGGCAGGAGAGATGGTTCACTGGTTAAGAAAACTGCTCTTGGGGCTGGAGAGATGGCTCAGAGGTTAAGAGCACTGACTGCTCTTCCAGAGGCTCTGAGTTCAATTCCCAGCAACCACATGGTGGCTCACAACTATCCGTTATGAGATCTGGTGCCCTCTTCTGGTGTGCAGATATACATGGAAGCAGAATGTTGTATACATAATAAATAAATAAAAATCTTTAAAAAAGGAAAAAAAAAAAAGAAAACTGCTCTTGCTCAGGACCTTGGTGTGGTTTTCCAGCACCCATTTGGTGGCTCACAACCATTGCTAACTCCAGTTCCAGGGATCTGATGCTCTCTTCCAGCCTCCAATAGCAACCAAGCACAAACTGAGTGCACATGCACACTTGAAGCAAACACTTATACACATAAAATTAAATTTTTAAGTAAGGCTGTGTAGTATAGAGTAATCAAATAACTGCATAAATAATTGTTTAAAATATAATTCTCCAGGTGGAGGAGATGACTCCATGAGAAAAGCACTTGCCACATGAGCATGAGGACGGGGTTTAGATCCCCAGAACTCATAAAAAGCCAGTCATGCCGGGCATTGATGGTGCACGCCTTTATTCCCAGTACTAGGGAGGCAGAGGCAGGCAGATCTCTGTGAGTTTGAGACCAGCCTGGTCTACAAGAGCAAGTTCCAGGACAGCCTCCAAAGCCACAGAGAAACCCTGTCTCAA